GTCCGCAGTAGAGTTTTTCGTATGTACCGGGTCTGTACACCTTCCCCAGGGTACTCAATAAGCCTTTCATCTATAGATCCACATCATCAACCAATCACACATCACATACCAACATCTCATTTATACCAATTAACCGTAAATCATGCAAATAGACAACACGTAAAATTGAGAAAACACGATTGAAACATTTATTTTAGATCAATTAACGGATAGGGATAAAACGGTTACGTAAACTAATGATCGAAAAGGTAATTAAAATCAATAAATTAAAGCACCTGATATAACGGTAAGCAATTAAGACAATATAGAGATAAATATACAACACAGATAAACTATACATTGACCAGTTTCGTCTCCACTGGTGACCTGTAATAAATTTTAGGGTTTTTCTAATTTTCACAAACACAGTATTATTAATTATTAAACTTTAATTTACCATAACAGGAAAAAGGGTGAGAGATTTTTACCCTGAATTGGCGTCCGAAAAACCGTTTCACTGCACCTCTTGGTGGTTCTCGGGTTTCTTGAATTTTTTCTGCAGAAATTAAAAATACGCGTCACGTATCCAAAAATACTCCAAAATGCCAAAACAGGTGTTCTAAAATTTTTTCGGCCAATTAAGGGTTCAGGCACAGCGACGCTGCCGTGCTTTGCCGCTGGCTCTACTGCCCCCGACAGCAGTTTTCCTCGATCTGGCCGTTTTTGACTGGTTTTGCATGGAAACCTGCGAAAAACAAAGTTAGGGGGTCTTTGTTAGTCGGAAAAGGGAAAAATTGAAACCCTACTGGCGGAAGGGTCTCCGAGTGCGTCATTGCTGCCGTTCCTCCTTCGCGGTCGGGGGTGTTTCTTCGGCTAACCTGCATCAGAAAGAAACAAGGGTCACAATGATTAGAAAACCGAAGGGAACAAGAAACGGGAAAGGGGTCATCAAAGAGGTTTTCGGGTTGCAGCTGCAGCGGCTCGGCCAAGCTACAGTCGCGTTTTCCAGCTTATCCGCTGCCTTTTTTGCTTCGATATGGGTGTGGGGAGGTTCGGAATTCAATTCTGAGTGGAAGGTAAAAAATTTTACCTTCTTCAGCGTCGGCGATGGCTCCGGTGTAGCGGCGACGATGTCCCTCCAGCGGTTGATCTCCCTCCGACCACCCTCCTTCTTCTTCTCCGGTCAGTGGTTGTCGGCTAGAGTTTTTGAGGCCGACTAAAGAGAGGTTTAGATACCTCTCTTCCCCCCAATCCTGACCATTCGTCCGCATCGACGTGAAGCGAGGAGAATTATCCGATCGTTGTCTGTTTAGGCCGATTACGTATGTAAATCTGGGTCATCCATTGCGATCGGATCCAGCCGTCCAATCGCATTTGAAAAGGAAGTGGATCTGCACCGTTCGTATGCACGGGATGCGATCTGGGCCGTTAGATTACCCAAGCACGTGGATCTCTCATGTGGAACCAGTGTCAGCGTGTTCCGCCATGCGGTGCGTTTTGACTCTCCGTGCTGCTGACATGGTTGTCTCACATGGCTGTATTTTTGAAAATTATGTTTTTACTCAATTTTACAGATTTGTTTTCAAATAAATTCTCTCTTATTTTTATTTTGGCCATGATTTTCAAAAATGTTTTCAAATGCATTCAAGTTCTAATTTTCAACAAAATTTCAAAAAAAATTAAAATTAATTATTTTAAATATATTTTTTTATTAATATTAAATTATTCCGGACTAAATTTTCGGATCCGAGTATTACAAAAAAAGAACAGTAAGTTTACCTGTTCATTCATCATCCATGGTAATAGAGGAAAGATGAATCTTTCAACCTCACAAGGACTAAACCCCTTCTCTTGAGGAGCTGATTTTGCATATTTCTCTGAGCTTATAACACAATGGGACCAAAAATGATTTTTTGTTTTGTAGAACATGCATTTAATTTATTTTGTTTTTGTCCCTTGCATGGAAGATAGAAAAACCACAAATGCTTCCCCATGGCCTTTTATCTTCAAATTGATCATCCAGTTAATTGTTAGTTTGTTTTAGAAGCATTCTACACGTATTAATTTGGATCCCAATTGATAATGAATCCAGAGGTGTCAAAGACAGAAGGGAGAATTGGGCAAACTACCAATGTGGTTATTGGAGGAACAGTTACAGATGATTCTACTACTGAATGGCTTGATCTAGATAAAAAGGTATGTTGTGTTCTCCTCTACTCGCCATCCTTCTCAACCTGAAAATTTAGTTTACTCTTCAGGCCTCAAGCATCTCAAATTTTTTACCCATTCCTCAATTACTTGTAGTTTATTAAGAAAAGAGTAATGGTTCAGTAAGAAAAAATTATTTTTGAACAATTTGAATGAAAAAACTTTTATCTGAGCCTTTGTGTAATTGCATTAGGTTTTAACATAAGAAATCAAATCATGTATAACTCAAGTATCTTGTACATACTAGCCGACTCAATGGTAGCATTAACTTACCAGGTCAATTCATACCCAACAGTTAGAGGGTTTACAGCAATTGGGACAGGAGGTGATGATTTTGTGCAATCTATGATTGTTGCTGTCGAATCTGTAATTCAACGGAGAATCCCTGAGGTATAGTTGCATTGTGATTGCTGTGAATTAATTAACTGAACAAGATTTAGCATGCTTATCCATTAAGCAAGCTTTCATGGTTGTTGATGTTGTTTCTGTAATTCAAAATGGAGAATCTTGAGGTATTGTTGCATTCTCATTGTTGTAGATTAATTAATTGAACAAGATTTGACATGCTTATCCATTCAGCAACTTTTTGTTCTAATAAATTTTTCTCTTTTGACTCAGTTAACATTTTACTTTTTAAGCGGATCTTTCAGACATGCAGAATTCTAGTTGCTCACATTACAAGTGCATGGTTAACTATATTGTTTCAATATGCAAAACGGCTGCTATTTGTTGCATTTTGCTTTATGGATGCAGGGAGATAAGTCATTAACTGGGTTGCAACTCTGAGTATTTTCTCAGTGGTTGCTTGACTTTGTACTGTGATAGAAAATGATCCAGATTTTGAATTATAATGATTTAGGATAAGTAGCCTAATACTAACTTTTGCCAAGATACTATAGAAATAGATTAACATCACCGAAATCTGAATTGGTGAGATTGGAGGATGGGGCTAACACATCAAGTTTGGCTGAAGTGTTGGGATGTAAGGTGATGAAGCTTCTGACCATATATTTGGGAATGCCTCTGTTGCAAAATATAAAGATGTGAGGATGTAGGACCCTATAGTGATCAGGTATGAGAAGAGGTTGGGGAGATGGAAGAGAAATTTTTTATTCGAATGAGAGTGCTTCACGCTTATCAAAAGCATGTTGTCCGGCCTTCCTGTATATTATATGTCTCTGCTAACAATTCAGTGTGTCATTAGGAAATTGGAAGATATCCAATGCAGGTTTTTATGGGGTGACTCGGTGGAGAAAATGAGGTACCATTCAGTCGCATGAGATGTTGTGAAAAGGTCTTTGAATCAGGGTGGTCTGGGGCTAAGATCAATTGTGAAGATGAATCAGGTGTTACAGGGATAAATGGATACGAAGGTTCATAAAAGAATCGGAGAGTTTGTGGCAGAGGGTTTTTGATTGAAAATATGGTACTATGGATAGGGGCTGGTATCCTAAATAGGTAACTAGACCGCATAAAACATGGGTTTGGAAGAAAATCTGTATGGGCAGAGATAGTTTTCAGAATTGTATCATGTGGAGAGTTGACAATGGTGAGAAAATCAGATTTTGGCTTGACTCATGGCTCGGCCGAGGAAGCACTTAAAAATAGATTCCCACAAATCTTTGCGATAGCATGGTACAAAGGTATTTTAGTTAAGGACTTTCAGAGAATTTGGGGGTGAGAGGAAGTGTGGCACATGGAGATTCAAATGAATCTTAATGATTGGGAAATAAACGAGTAATAATGTATTTTGAGCTCTTTTCCAGTCATTGAATGAGAGCCATGATCAACCGATTTGGATGCTTAACTCAAGTGGCACCTTTTCGGTAGACTCATTTTATAAATACTGACCAAGAACGAAGCAACAGAGAACAAGTTTCGTTTTTGGCAAGTGGATAGTTCATGCCCTTCCAACGATTGCTTTCTTTGCTTGGGAAGCAGGATGTGGCTGCACTTTGACTATCAACAAGTTGATAAGAAGGGGAAAGATATTGGTGAATGGGTGCTATCTTTCTGAGAGTTGTGATCACATTTTACTATGGTGTCCCTTTGTGCATAATCTTCGGTGCACGGCGTATAGGTTGTCGGGTATCAGTTGGGCAGTTGCGAATGTTGTAGAGAGGAGATTTGGCCATGCAAGGATATTAAGGGTAGGAAAGAACAATTAGGACTTATTCTTCAGACTATTTTTTGGCAGTGTGAAAAAAAAGGAATAGAAGGGTGTTTAAAGGGGTGGAAGAGGACACTGACTTAATGTTCAAAATGGATGATTGACTCGTTCCATACTATAAAGAATCAAAGGAAATCTTTTAATGACACACATTCTTATTTCTTAATGATATCCTACGATCAAGACAATTAGTTGAATCCTGTGACAGCATTTCATAGAAGTTCATTGATATCTATTCAAAAAAAAAAATAGAAGTTCATCGATATTTTCGTTTTATAAAACAAATCAACTTTGATTCTTGAATAAAGGTTAAATCGGGATGGCAACAAATCTGGGCTTGGTGGTTAAGGGTAGTTTTTTGTATTCCATGGAGGAAGTAGGTTGTTTTATCGATTGTTTGATATATTTTATACGTGGGTTGGCATCCCCTTGGTACCTATATTTAATGAATACTTTATACTTTTCCTCCCCAAAACACTACATCCTTCAACAACTCCAACCCTGACCAGTTGAAGACCATTTCTTCCAACTCTGTTCTCTTTCATTTCTCAATCAAGACCTGTAAATATGTCACCATTTTATTTTATTTCACTCCTAGTAAAGATAATCTATGTGGCTGCCACGTGGTGATGCTATGTCTGAAAATCCCTTTTTTTTAACTTAACTGAAAGACCGATTTAAAACAATTAAAATATGGGTATTTAATTGTAAAAATTGAAAAGTCAAAGATCAAATTGAAAAATGAATAAGAGGTGAAGCCTTAGGACCATTTTTGTAATTAAGTCAAATACAATATAAGCTGGTGTCTCTTTTTGCAGTTAGCTGCAGTCTGTCATATGTAACCGCACATGAAAACAATTATCAGAACAAAATTATTTCTGTTGGCTCAATATATTATTATGTTTTTTAACAGGGTAGTGTGAGGCAGAAGTTATCAAAGAGGGGCAAATATGTGTCAGTCAATATTGGTCCGGTGCAAGTTGTTTCCAGTGAGCAGGTCTGTCTATTCTCTCTTTCTCTGTCTTTTTCTTTTCCTCTCTATCTATCTATTTATTATCTCTTATATGTGCTTAGATATAGATGTTTCTAGTCATACATACCATAACCATGCACACAGTGAGCAAAACGCATCACCTATACATATTAAGAGTTTATGTATTTATGTAGGTAAGTATGCATGTAATTCTAGTTCACCCTCATGTTGATGGAAATTGAAAAATATAGTGGGGGCTGACAACTTATTGAGATGAAACTTCATTGTGGATTTCCAGGTTCAAGCTGTATACAATGCAATGAGAAGAGATGAGCGGATGAAGTACTTTCTATGACGTGATTCCATTCTTGGTTTGACTAGAATGAAGAGAATAGAGAGCTATGCCGTTGCTCTCTTCTCCTTACTCTGTTTCGGTAAATTCTTCTGCCACCTAATTTTGTTTAGGTGCTTTAAATCTTGTAACATCATTCCTGGCCAAGGAATCATATAGTGAATTATTATGTTGTTATTTTGTAATGCTGCGTATGGTTTTTAATTTGTTAAACACAATCAAGGCAGTAAATATATATTAATGATATCCTCTTGTTCAACAATGGTGGGATGTTTTCGGACATTCTCCGCTCTTTTGAGACTGACATTTTCTGTTGCCTTTCCGTAGCTTGCGGGTTGCAGGGTTTTCTCTTTTTCGTTTATTTTAAATAAAGTTTTTCCATGTTGCTCGTTGTCGGGATTCTAAACTACCTTTATGTTACTAGAAACACACATGCACAAACTGTGTGCTTCTTAATTATTAGATTGCTAACACCCTTTTAGATTATTAACTTCTAAAGACTAACATGTAAGGGATATCGTGCATTTGATTAAGGTTGTTGACACAACACTAGGCAGCTCAGATATTCTGTCAAGTACTATGTTGATTAGATTCTGTGCAATTTATTAAAAACAAAAAAAAAAAAGTGAAAATGGTGTAGACGATCAGGAAGGGCATGATGTTTAGTAGGCAAGGGGTTAGTGTATGGAATGCACATTATAAAAAAATAATAACAGTTAAATTGTTGTGACTATAAACTGAGCTTCTTATTATGATAGGACCTACCTTGAAATAAACATGCATAGTATTTTTACTTTGTCATAATACAAAGTAAAATGATTTTTCTATAGTGCTATATGTAGTTGATTTTAAGTCTCCTGTCTTATCAAAACACAGCAAAAAAAACTTTCTTCTTTCTAAGTTTGTCTAGTTTTTTTTTCTTTCTTGGGTAGAGATCGGAAAAGGTCAGTAGCCTAAATTTTTTTTTCTAGGAGCCCACTATCACATGTATTCAAAATAATGATTGATGTTCAGTCTTTTTAGTGAAAAATCTAGAATGGGAAATGCCCCTTAAGAAATACACGAGTCATGCAAGCAAGAAACGTGGTTGGTAAATAAGTTCCTATATAAATAAAATATTTGTCCTCCGCCCTGCACTTAAAGAAACTTTAGATATAGTGACCCATAAGCGAATTTAAGGCACTCTCCTCCATAAATTTTATGTTAGTTTCTCACGTATAAAGAGATATCTCAACAATAGGCCTTTCTATGCTTTGATCCCTTGCAAGCTTTATGGCCAGGCCCCCAAGTCTTTGTCGTTGTTTCCTAATTTACAACAGCATTGGTTACAAATTCTGTGCAATCTAGCCCTCACAACTATCTTGGAGCTGACTACTCGCAGCAAGAAGCCGAAAGGTTACCTTTCGCAGACAAACCTATGCTGAACTTGATATAGTACTTTGAACGTGCTTTCAGATCCTTCCTTCCTCCCTTCCCGGCAACTAAAAGGTATTCTGTTAGTATAATTTGTATTACTGTTTCTCCAAATAACTCGGGTATATATGGATTTTTTGAAACTCCAGGGCAATCCTAGTAATGTCATTATGGGATAAGGGCTGCAAAGAATACTTGTTTATCACAAACGAACACTCATTCACTTTCTTCCCAAGCAGCTATGCTGTAGTTTGAAAAATTGATTCAATTTACGAATTATTAGATTTTCTTTGAGACTCTAATTGACTTAACTATTAGGAGAAGCAAATAAGAAAATATTTAGAGTTATTATCCTCAATAAGATTATTCTGTACCTTCTTTAAGTAGTACTAGTTGGATGATACTTTCCAACTTAGTTTAGCATTTAGGGTAAAGATTGTTATCAGGGATATGTTTTATCTTCCGCCCCTCATTAGGGATGAATCTATCTAACTGCAGCAACCACACAAAGTGTCTCATCTACTGTGAAGCAGGAAGTGTTCGAATGATATTCTAACTGCTGTTTTCATTCTTTTTAGTATAATAATTTAAAGTAGATATAGGTATGGGGCGGGCATGAAGCTTATATGCCAATCCTCATAGTTGTTTCCATTTACTAAATTCATCCACTCCTCGTTCTTAGAGTAAAATTTTCTATTTGTTACTTGATTTAGTTATCTTTTAAAAAAAAAATTAAATTTTTTTTAGAATATTTAAATAATTTTAATTAAAAAATATTAATTATTAATTAAAATAATATTTAAATATAATATTCGATAAAATATAAACTAACATTATATATATACAATATTGAACATTTATTAATCAAAATTTTATTAATTTGAGTATATTTAAAATTTTATTGATTATATATATAGTGAGGAAGGGGTGAGATAAGTGTGGGACTTGTAAATCATTAAATATAAACCTCTCTAATATCTTACTAATTATAAGTTTTTACTTGTCTCATCTTGGGTGGTACGGGACAAAAAGATTTTTAAAGTTTGAAATTTTTCATAGACTCTATCTTTAAACTTTAAATATTTATTTTATAATTATTTAGAGAAGATTCAAAATGAACCGATCAAATTTCTAAATATTCCAATTAATATATACTCTCAAAGAAACTTATTTATTTACAAATTTTAGAGAATCTTCAATATAAAACATTCTTAAAAACATGTGAGATTCATGTTAGTTATTAAAATGGTACATGTACTTTTCTAATAGTAAAATATCAGTAAAAAAAATATTATAAATAAATCTGGAGTTTTATTTTGTAAAATCGACTACATTATAAAAATAAACTGTAATTTTTGAAGATGTGAAATAGTAAAATTTCTTCCAAAAATACCATGTATTTTTTTATTTTTATTTAAATAAATCCTTCAACAGTTTTTATATTCAATTAAAACTTTGAACTTTTGAAATTCATTTAAATAACTCATCCACTTATTAAAATCTCTAAATTTTAATAATAATAATTCATTGGAAAAAGAAATTATTGCTAACATTGCATCCAAGTAGATGTCATATTTGTAATAATTACAAAAATCTTTAATTTCTCTTTTTTTTTTCTTTTAATAATAATAATAATATCAGTAGTTGATTTATTATTATATACATTCTCTAACGAAATAAATATCTAAAAATGGAAAGATTAACTATTAAGAAAGACCTATGAAGTTCGATTAAACTACATTCCAATCAAAACTTGATGATGAAAGAATTTTATGAATAAAAGTCAAAGTCAACAAAATTGGTACATTTAAATTTTGATACACTGACAAGATGCGAAGATCAAACCGTAGAGGAAGTGATAACGACATTAGAGGAAGAAATAGTCTAATCTGATTTTTTGATTCGAACCAAATCTATAAATTCAAACTGATTTTTTATACGGACCTATTAATCATATTACTAAGAGATTATTATAAATAAACACCCGCATTTGGTTCGGTAATTACTATTAGTCACCTTCGTATGAGTGAGAGTTTTATTTTGGGTTCACGTAATTCTTTTTTTTTTTTTGTGATTTTAAAAGAGAAATTATTATCCGAAATAGCCGATTAATTAACATTGTTAGTTAGGATTATATGCCTTCTTTTGAACCGAAAAAGATACCAGCCAATGTGGGGACAAAACAACTTACATTATTACTTAGTAATAGATGCCAAATAATCCGCCGTCCATCTCCAAATCCAAACTTTGAACACTCCGCCCCTAAATCCCTTTGTATTTTGAATTTGGTTAACTTACACCTTACACTTTCTTTTCAAAACATTATTTTTCACTTATCAAAAAAAAATAAAAGGGTATGTTTGTAAGACTGTATTATTTTATTATTACAACAAAAAAAAAAAATCAGAATATTATAAATAAACTATAAGCATTGTAATTCCCTGGGTATTTGAGTTTGAGTTTGAGTTCTTCACTACATCTTCATCTCAAATATATATATAATATTATCCAATTAAAGATATTTAATAATTTGATCAGAACTCAACTTGACCAAATCCAATAAAATTAAATAAAAGGGATAGAGATATATGTACTGTAAAATTCTATACCGCGGTAAAAAGATATGCCAGCTCTAGTAAACTTTTCAAAATCAAATTCCGAAGACATTTAAAAAGAAAACGATAATAAATTTTTTATATAAAAAATAATAATAATAATTAAAACGAAAGTAACAGTGTCGTCCTCGGCGCAATCTAGCAAAACCGATCGCCCGGATCGCGGGCGGCGACGGTCGCGTTGGCAGCGGGGATTTCAAAATGCCACAATCTACCCACGTGCTTCACCAAATACTTCCTGCAAAGAAACTCCTCTGCAAAAGCCTTCTCCACCTTCCGATCCACATCGTGCAGGAACACGTGCGTCACGCCGGATCCTTTCCTGTTCCTCGCCATGACCGCCGCCGAGAAGATGGCTCCCATCCTCCCCGGCGCCTCCGCAAAATAACCTTTCGGTGCGTCGATCATGATCAGATCCCACTCCGTCTCGTAAAACTCATCGGGAAGACCGGTCAACGCGAGCTTGCAGGCGGTGTTCCCACGAAGATAGGCTTTCGACGGCGAACAGTACGGCTCTCTCCGGTAAGAAGCGAGAAGATCATCGGCCTCGGAGAGATGAGTACGGTACTGTACGTGATGAGCACGCAGAGTAGGCGCGTCTTTAAGGACGGTCTCTATCCACTTAGGATCCTCCTCGAGGAATATCGTGTTACCACGTGGATTGAGCGATGTCCACATGAGGGAATCATGGCCTAGCCCGAAGACCAGGAAGTTGCAGGGAGCTCGTTCTTTAAGGACGGCGAAGGAGACAGAGATCTCGCCAAACGACTGTTGCGGCGTCACGCGCGACGTGGCGTAGTGGACGATGGCTTGAAGCTGAACCGGCGTGGCTTCGTATTCGGATACGGCTCGAGCCTTGGCGCTAGCCATTGAGCATAAGAAAGACTTATCGGCGTCTCCAATGATGACGGAGATTAAGAGGCCGCCGGCGACTAAACCTAAAAGCACTACGACTAAGAACCACGGCTTCTCCAATAACAACGATCTGGTCTTCATATTGAATTTTTTTTTTTTTTTTCAATAAGAATGAAAGGAGTTGGCAGAGAGATTAAAGTAGAGATTTTTGAAGTCTGAAAATTTCTTGTGTTTCATACATGAAGATTTCTTTAAAGAGGAAGACGAAGATGCAGCATGAGAGGAGGTGGGATGCACGAAGCCTGCTGTGATTTTTTCTCCTATTTGTTTTCGAAACATGTTTTGTCGTGTTCTGCTACTCGACGCTTCACCATTGGAGGAAATTTTAGTGGGACCAACCGGCATTCTGATATTCTCTTTTTCCGCCACGTGGTATGTTTTTTACCGTTGAGATTTTCTCTTTACCTTGATTTTTAGTTGAATTCTTTTTTAAAAAAATTAGGGAACGAATTTGAGTATTCTCTTTGATCGATGTAGTTTTTAAATGTTGGGTTTTATTTTAGGTTTTTTTTTTTTCTTTTTTTTTTTCTTTTCTTGAACGAAAATATTATGTGTTGAAAGATAAAATTACATTACAATTTTAAAGGCCAACTCATATTATTAAATTCAGAATATAAAATATTTTATACAGAAAAATCTTCATGATATTAATTTTTATTATCTTAAAAAACAATTCTCTCCATCTTTTAGTTAAAATAGTTGTGGACTAATAAATTAATTTCACTAATTTTCTATATATTTTTAAACATAACCGAAAATAATTATTTTCAAAGTACTTATATATATATGTGTATATATATGTAGAATGCTAATTAGATTGACTTTTTGAAAATAAATAATTAAAAGAGTAAAGCTTATTAGGATTAAGACATTGTACCTTAATTAAAATAAATAAAACCTAGTTTTCTTACTTAACAATGTATCTACCAAACTACAAGTTTAATTATTTCTAGTTTTATATTTGACCCTCTAAATAACACTACTAACAAGAAAATTACCATAATGGTCAAAGATCTTTTTTTTTTTTCTAAAAAAATAATAATAATAATCCAGCATTATCTAATCTATCATTAGATCAGTAAGAACTTTACACAAGATCAACGAGTTTTAATTGTATAGTTATCTGAATAATAATTTAAGATATAAAAATCTTATTTATCGTGTATATTATAATGTATTTAAAAAATAAAAATCATATTTATGATATTAATTATTTTTTTATAAAAAAAAACCTCACATTTTTTAACATAATTTAAAATATAAACTTTTTAATTTTTATTAAATTAAAAATATTTCTAAATGTGATTTTAAAAACAATTAAATAAATAAAAAATTACTCTTTATTCGACGTATGTAAATATATTTTCACATTCATGATGAATGTTACTGTATGAATTTCAAACATGTTATGTTTGTATTACTATGTGGTACTGGTACGAATATTGTTTTAAATGAGTTTTGATCAACACCTTAAAGATAAGATGTGCCTATATAAATCTAATATATTGGAATACATGTTACGTACATTGCACATATGACACTTCTATTTATATATTCATTTGATTACTCTCATAATTGTTGGATAGTTGTTATTATATGTTGAAATAAAAAGTTGACTTTTGGACACAAAGAGGACCACAAGGAAAGATACAAAAGAAATAATGATATTACTACAATATTATAATGATGGGGGACTTTAATCAATCGTGAATAGTATAAGTAACATGTTTTATATAGGTTACGAAGAATTTGTTTTATTTCTATTATGGCAGTTTTACTATAATTCTTATAAAATTAAATTTCTAGAAATTGATTGGTACATTCGTTGTTGTCGAAGCATCTTTATATTTTTAAAGAAATTTTTATTAAATTTATTATTTTTTATAGTAATTATACTTTCATCTTACGAGTAAAGTAAAATTAGATCACGTGAACCCTAGATTAAAGCTCGAATTTGCTGTTCAACGAGCAATGGTTAAAAATTACTCCAAATTTTGGGTTGCTTTGATGGTTAATAATAAAATTAAATTGAACCAATCATAAACACGGTATTTAAGTTTAAAGTAATTTAAGATGATTTAGGAGCAATTATAAGTTAATAATAATTTTTTTTTTTTTTAAAAAAAAACAAATTTTAACACTAATTTGTTTTTGTAACGTGAAATTAGCAAACTTGTTAATTTTGTGGTTAACAAAGTGAAAAATGGGCATCGCATGATACATTTAGTAGTCCTGAAAAGTCAATGGGAAATGGTCAAAGCAACAAAGAGAGGGAATCTTTTGCTAAATTCACTCGGTTGGGGACCAAAAGTCAAGTCAACTTATAATAGAAAATATTTCATTAATTGGAAATTAATATTGAGTTATAAAATTATATGTATATCAGTCAATTATTGTGATCTGGAAATCAAGATTTTAATTTAATTTAATTTTTTTATTTTGCTCTCCTACAACCTACAATTTTGAAAGGGCCAATCTTATTTTTCTAAAGGCCCAAAACTTCAACCCCCAGCACTCACTCAATCCGAGCCCATTGCAAAGTCATTTTCTTTTTTGCACCCCCCCCCCCCCCCCCCCCCAAGTACTTACTATCGTTAAAAATTTCCTTATTGCATCTGCACTGGAGATGATAATGAAGTAGGTACATAGTGGGTCTTACCAAACTATAATTTGACCCGAACTCGGAGCGGACTTGATATATATATTTTTAAATTATATAAGATTTGCAGATTATTTAATTATGATATAATTATTATATATGTAACGATCCGGAACTTAAAAAAAATTAATTATAAATAGATTGCGGAAGCAAAATAATAGTGTTAGAATTTACATTCCTTACACAATAATTCAGAACACCCAATAGGATTACGGAAATGACCCTTCTAAAATAACAACAAAAAATCAAAGAAATAACTGGAAAGTAAACAATTGAACATCCTATTTGCAACCGGTAATGGGTGTCAAACATACAATCGACTCAATACTTCGTCTGGTATGAGCGTAATTAAAATAATTATCAACCACTTCTGGTATGGGACTTCTCAGCCCTGTTCGATTGAAGGTAACGTTCACAGTAGGGTTTACCCTATGCACCAAATCAGTACACTCTCTCCCAAGGCACTCAGTAAGTCGTATTTATTTGACACAATGTATTCATGCATATACTCTCTAATATCTACTATTTAGATCTAAGAGACCCGTACATCTATATCACAACTATATGAGTGCACCTTTTAAGATAGGTACATGGATTAAAAATGTATTATCCTAATGGAAACATGTTATACACACAATGGAGCGACTAGACACCAGAGATTAAGAAACCTTACCACGTTAGCCATAGATTTAAAGTGAATAAATTAAAGTAAGCAGAACAGTGAATAGATATAATAAACGTTTGAAGAAATAAATACTGCAATTAAAACTCAAAATAAGTATAGACTAACCAGTTACTTGTGTCATTGGTCACCTATACTTAATTAATTAAAGGACCACCAATTAACTAAAATTTAAGTTATTTATTAGTCTACTTCAATTTAACCGTAACAGGGAGAATGGGTAAAGAATTTTTACCCTGGGTCGCTATCTCAAATATTGTCTTTTTCACTATGCTTCTCGATAATTTTCGATTCCTGAATTTCTTGAGTTTTTATGTTGAAATCAAAACTTATGTCAAAATAACGTGAAAATACATGAAAAACGACCAAAAGGGCAAACAATCTCATTGAGGGTTGCTTTAGGGTTCCGACACGGCGATGTCATCGTGCTCCACCGCCGGTTCCTCCTTTTACGACTCCTCCTCCTCTCGGTCAGGCCAGTTTTGGCTAAAAACCTATTCAATTCATGGTTAGGTAGTGTCTGTTGGTGGTTAAAAGAAGAAAACTGAGACTTACCTGTGTTTTCGATCTCTGGCGTGGCAGCTCAGCCAGGCTCCGCTGTTCTTCCTTCGTGACTCGTGATTTTTTTGGTCACCCTGCACCAGAAAAACACGTTAGATGGCCCAGGGTCGAAAAACAGAAAGAACGGAAAAGGATTTCAGGTTCATCAGAGCATTTTTTGATTTCTAGTGCAGCGGCTCAACCAAGCTCTGCCCTTCACTTACGGCTTTTCCTCTAATTTTCCTGCATAAAGATGGGTTTTAGGTAGCTTAGAATGAAAAAACATGATGAACGGGAGAAAATCGCACTTAATGGCATCGATTTGGGTCTCCAGTGCGGTGGCAACGGTTGTTGGATTCTCCTCTAGCCGCCCTTCTTCTTCTTCTCCAGCGAGCAAGTGTGCGACTAGGGTTCGGGTTTTGGTAAAAGATGAGTTTAAATACTCCCTTCCTTTTGACTTAGGCTGTCTAACCAAGTTCGCATAGTGCTTCCTCAGCCGTCCGATTACACCTGATAGGAGAAAGGATCTAGACTGTTCGATTGAAAACGTGTGGACCGTCCGATCGCGCCTAATGGGAGAATAGATCTGGACCGTTCGTGCACGTGAGAGTGAACATGGGTCATTGGATCGCTTGGCACGCAGATTGTCCACGTGGAATGCGTACTGGCCTGTCCGCCACACGACGCACGACGACTAGTCGTGCTGCTAACGTGACTGTCCTATGTGGTCGCTTTTCTCTTTTTTTTGCGATCTGACACCCCTACTTTCAATTTTTTTTTTCAAATGGGTCCTCGTTGATTTCTAATTTGGCACCTTCATTTTAAAATTGTTTTCAAATGTATCCAAAATGCATATATCTCAACAAAATTCTAAAAAACTTAAAATTAAATATTTGCATTACTATTTTATTAAAATCAATATATATATATATATATATTCTAATAAAGCCCGTATCATATGCTCTTGGGTAACCTAATTAGTTGGGCTAATAATATATAAATTAATAGTATGAAACTATATTTAAATAATACAAAATTAAGATGCTAATAAATAATAATATTTCATTTATTATTATTAATTTGTAAAAATAATATAATTTTAATGTAAATATCGTTACTTATTTATAGTTAAGGTAAATACTTAAATAAAAAATGAAGAATACATATATTTATATAAATTAATTAAAATAATATAACATATCATATGAAAAATTTATATAAAAACTAAAAACAACTAAAATTTAATGTACTACAATGACTTTTCCTTGTACTTTCACTTATTTCTAATTTTATTATTATTATTATTATTATATCCTCTTTTCTAAACTTCTGTTTTATTCACTAGCCTTATAAAAAAAAAAAAAAAAAGCTTAAATATAAAACCAATTAATTGATAGTAATATACCATCATCGTGTTTTATAAAATGAGGGAATTAAAAATTTTGATTCGGTTCAGTATCCGA